GAGAGAGAGAGAGAGAGAGAGAGAGAGAGAGAGAGAGAGAGAGAGAGAGAGAGAGATCCTGTCTATTATGGCTCTCTGTCTCTCTCTCTCTCTCTCTCTCTCTCTCTGAACTGTAGGTTTGAGATGTATTGAATAGTTCTCGACTTCGCTGTGTAAGGTAGCCTTGATATTGTCCACGTCATCCAAGCTGCTTCTGCTGTCTGTGAGTAAGCACTTGCCTTCCTGCATTAATCATTCAGTTCTCGCGTTTTTCTCTTGCTTTTCTGCTTCCCAGTTTGTCAGTGTGCCCCTGTTTCAAATCTTGAAAATCTTTTACCTTAACTGCAAATGCGTCTACTGGTTGGATGGATGTGCTGACTCCTGCTACTCAACCACTCAGGCGAGAGGAGGCATGTGGCCTGGTACTGAATGGACGTCCAGCAGTGCCGGTCAGTTCTATGAAGGATAACACCTCCACGTCTAACAAATGTCATATTTCCCTACACTTATAGACATCGCTAACGTGAGTATTGGCCGATCCGGGCCGCCCTCGGTCCTACCGGCCGGACGGTCCGGATTACCACGCAATCTTCAGACTTCAAGACTGTAAGATCGTGCGACGATCCAGGTCGTCAGGAAGGGTGGACGGCCTTGATCGTTGCGCGATCTTAAAGTCTTAAGGTCGTGGGATGATCCGAGCCATTGGCCCGGTAGGACCGCGGGCGGCCTGGATTGTCGCATCCGTTGAAAAGAGGGCCCATCGTAAAATAACGGCCTCGGCACCTGCTGGCCATTTGCCAGTTGCAGGGTGGACAGCGCTATGGCCCTGCTTGCGTTGAAAGGCCCGTGACTTCGCACCCTCGCTAGAGTCCAACGGCCCATGACTTCGCGTGTGCTGTGTTGAAAGGCTGTGCTTGAAGGCCCCTCCGAGGTGACTCCGTCTCCGCCCACCTCCCCTTGGTCTCCGCCAACCTCCCCTCTGCCTCCCCCTGCCATCTCCTCTCTCTCGTTACTACGCCACCTTTGCCACTTCTCCCCTACCTCCGCCACCTCCCGTCCGCCTCCTCCCGCCATCTCCTCTCTCTCGTTACTTCCCCACCTTCGCCACTTCTCCTCTGCCTCCGCCACCTCCCGTCTGCCTCCTCCTGCCATCTCCTCCCACCATCTGTCCCACCAACTCCTCTCCGCCTCCGCCTCCGCCTCCCTATCCCCTGTGTGTGTGTGTGTGTGTGTGTGTGTGTGTGTGTGTGTGTGTGTGTGTGTGTGTGTGTGTGTGTG